GTAATGTCCAGTACTGGTGAGCATGGTAAATGAGCGCTTTCAAATACTGTTATTTGGAGTAGTACTTTGTATAGAATTTCTGGAGATAGAATTGGCAATACATAACAAAAATTTAAACATTGTTTGATCCAAGTTCTGTTTAGGTATTCTCAAAGCACATAGTCATGCAATTCGGAAAATGTGCTTATTTAGATATTCATTGTAAGTCAAAATTGGAAATAAGCCATATTATTCTTTAATATGTGATTACTTTTACAGGATGTTGTACAACTGCAAGAATTGTTATTTGAGTGGGACATGTCTGTGTGACATATGACACAATGACTACAATATGTCACAAAGAAAAGCTACAAAAGCATATGAAATGATTGTGTGTATATGCTAATGTATTTACATGTACAGAGAAATATCTAAGTGATACTTAACAAAATATCAAATGTTAGTTAACTATCACCAGCTGTATTTGAGATATATATATATGTTTTTTATCTATTTAGTATGTTAATGTATTGCTTGAATTTTCTGCCTGAGTAGACCTTATCTTTATCATTACAAAATAGTATATTATAAAAGGGAAAAGAAGTCTATGAACTTAGTAAATGGAAAACTCACAATGGTAAGTCTATGATTTTTTTTCTTTAGAATTCTTCAAACTGTTTACTGTTAACAGTCCTGAATTCATAAAAGATAAGATGGCAAAAAATCTTTAGAATCATGATTTTCTACAGCAGAATATTTAAATATCCCCCCATATAGGTATGTTTCTAGCTGGTCTGATAGAGAAGTATTTCGTGTCCCCTACCCTGTTCCGAGTGATCCGTCTTGCCAGGATCGGCCGAATCCTCCGTCTGATCAAAGGAGCCAAGGGGATCCGCACGCTGCTCTTCGCTTTGATGATGTCCCTTCCTGCCTTGTTTAACATCGGCCTCCTGCTCTTCCTGGTCATGTTCATCTACGCCATCTTTGGAATGTCCAACTTTGCCTATGTTAAGAGGGAAGTTGGAATCGATGACATGTTCAACTTTGAGACCTTTGGCAACAGCATGATCTGCCTGTTCCAAATCACCACCTCTGCGGGCTGGGACGGACTGCTCGCGCCTATTCTCAACAGTGGACCTCCAGACTGTGACCCTGAAAAAGATCACCCTGGAAGCTCCGTGAAGGGTGACTGTGGGAACCCATCGGTGGGGATTTTCTATTTCGTCAGTTACATCATCATATCCTTTCTGGTGGTGGTGAACATGTACATCGCCGTCATCCTGGAGAACTTCAGTGTTGCCACTGAAGAGAGTACTGAACCCCTGAGTGAGGATGACTTTGAGATGTTCTATGAGGTCTGGGAGAAGTTTGATCCTGATGCAACTCAGTTCATAGAGTTTGCCAAGCTCTCCGATTTTGCAGCTGCTCTGGATCCCCCTCTTCTCATAGCAAAACCAAACAAAGTCCAGCTCATTGCCATGGACCTGCCCATGGTCAGTGGAGACCGGATCCACTGCCTGGACATCTTATTTGCTTTTACAAAGCGGGTTTTGGGTGAAGGTGGGGAGATGGATTCTCTTCGTTCACAGATGGAAGAAAGGTTCATGTCTGCAAATCCTTCTAAAGTGTCCTATGAACCTATCACAACTACGTTAAAAAGAAAACAAGAGGATGTGTCTGCTACTGTCATTCAGCGTGCTTACAGACATTACCGCTTACGGAAAAATGTCAAAAATATATCAAGTATATACATAAAAGATGGAGACAGAGATGATGACTTGCCTAACAAAGAAGAAATAGTTTTTGATAATGTTAATGGGAACTCCAGTCCAGAAAAAACAGATGCAACTCCATCTACCATTTCACCACCTTCATACGATAGTGTAACCAAGCCAGAGCAAGAGAAATATGAAACAGACAAAACAGAAAAAGAAGACAAAGGTAAAGATGGCAAGGACAGCAAAAAATAGAGCTTCATTTTTCATATATTGTTTACAGCCTGAGAAGGTGATTTATTTGTGTTAATAAGACTCTTTTAAGGAGGTTATGCCAAACTCTTTCTATGGAAATAGTCTCAAAGGCAGTGCAATCAGTAGTTAACGATTATCTACAACAAGTGAACAGGACTAGCTGATGGCTATTTTTGCACTGGTAAATGATTCTGAAAGAATTATGAGTAACTCTGTAGGGATTATTGATTGCAGCAAGCAAAGGTGATTT